GGCAATGAGAAAGCATTAAATTTTGGTTTTAGACACGCTCACAACCATACTGACCACGTCGCACTCTTCTGTGAACTTTTACAGATATCACTGGAGGTCAGTTTCGGAAAATGCCGACAAAGCAAGGTCTGTAAACAGCAGACTTATCGTATCGACATTTGCAATCCTCACACACTCGTCGCACGCTTTGCCGCAGTAATTCGAACCCAAACTTAAACTCATTCTTCTCATATGATCCGTATCGAAACCGTGGTCAGGGGGATCTGCATTAAGTGATTCTTATCAAACTGGTGGTTCATAATTCTGATGTATAAAATTCGTGTTGATCATCCTTTCTATTGAACAGTGGTTGTGGTTTAAATTTTTTCGAGTCTTTCATACTCTCTTTCAATAACGAAGCAATAATACATAAGTATAATTAATGTTTTACCAACTTTAGTCCCAACCCAACGCATGGATTCCCTGAAATTTAATCATTACGTCAAACATACACCATTCAATGTCTTTAACGTAAAGTTTAAAATTTGATTTATCGGCTCAATCCGGCGGCATCGAAATGTGAGAAGGTTGATCAAAAGAATCAAAGTCGACCATGACAGTTCGAACGTGTCGACAACCGTTGTCTTAAGCCATGAGAACATTAAGGCGTCATATCCTCATAATTGCTTTAATTTCTGCACTACGTATATCATGCTCATATAAATTGCCTTCTATCCAGGCAAATTTATGTAATGTCTGGATTTGGTGCCAGGATTTAGGAGCACTTAAGATAAAGGAAGAAAAGCCAACGAACATCGTTCATACCGCATGTCCTCAGGTTGATGTGGCTTTCACGAAACAGCGTGACGCTGCTAAGCTTTGATGATTATTAGACCGGTTGTTTTGAAGCCATACTGTAAAGAAATTATAATTTCTTTTAACAATATAGCGTTTCAATGCTGTTTAATTCTTTAAAGTGGCATTCCTAAAATTGTGAGGTAAACTGTACAAATTGCTACACTTCGGTTTCATCATGTTTGGCAAAGCTTCAAATGGTTAAAATTAAAATTAAATAGAAGGGGCATCTGACAGCTTGCCACCTTGACCTATTTCATAGCTGACTTGGTCGACTTGTGTAATCCATTAAAATGTACAAAATAATGTAATAGCTGAATTTTTACCATCTATGTGTTTGGATGGTTTTGTAAATTAAATCAGACCTTATCCTTGGTTCACTTTTGGAGCGACTGCTTCAATAACCCGGTTGACGCTGGGCCTTTTCGTGTTAATTCTTTGGACCCTATCAAAAAAATATTACTGTTTTAAGTCGTACTTTTAACGAGCAGTATTTTTTGCCTCAATAGACGACCGGGTGACTAACGTCAAATAATTTATTACCATCTTTTCCACTACTAACGAAACAAATAAATCAGCAGCAGCCGCTGCCAGTTGTCAGAGTTCGAAACATGCAACTCGAGCTCACGATGAGGAGGAGACCGCCCTCCTTGTTTCTCGTTTGACTCTCGACAGAGGCGCTTGCCGACAACGGAAGGAAGTATCCCGCAGATCGCTAATTGTTGGTCACGCTTAATGAAATACGATCCGTCATCTCCCGCAGGTCACTCGTTTGTGTCTGTTGAGGGTTCACCGGAGAAAGCAAACACGGCGTTGACAGAGCAGGGACGTTTCTGAAAAGCATTCGCCTCCTCCGGATTTCGAAAAACCTGTAAAACATCGCTCAACGTTTAGTTCAGTAGAATCACGAAGTGCATTCAACTGAGTTCATAACGCCAGTACGGAGGAAAGAAACATAAAAATAGCATACATCGAGCTTCTCCCTCAGTGCAGATTGCAAGCTTCCTAAGTCGAAGATCTTTCAATCATATGCTCAAACTAATTGTTTAAACGATTGCTTAAATTATTTTGGCAAATTGTTGTTGTCAGAAAATATCTCGCGAATGGATTAAGTATGATTGGATGCGTGAGGATTTAGGGTATAACGTGTATATGATCGTGTGCATCCTTAAGAGACTTCCGCGGTAAAGAATTTAAGTAATATTTTTATGTTACAAAGTTGTTAATGAGGGATGATGACTAATTCTTATTGCTAAATATGAAAATACGCGTGAATAATATACATCGCTAATGCAATACGTTGTAGAAGACACTTGATTGAGCTGAATCAACGCATAACAGTAGATTAGGTCCAGCACTACCACCGGTAAAAAATGTAGGCTTTTTGTAATCGATGATGATGATTACAACAGAAACAATAGAAATGTAAAATTTTAATGCTATGTTCTTCAGCTAACCAGTTTTATCGTTCAGAATGGTAGTCCGTCTATACCGATACGGACTAGGCTACACAATATTACTATGCCTACTCCCGTACCTAAGCCTCAGTTGTACATCCAGCATTTCAAAGCATACACCGTGGCTTTCTAAGTTGACTCTAACAATGGACCAATATTAAATTAAGCACCATAGACAAACGAAAGATCGACCATTCAATTGTATAACAACGATGATAACGTTTTGCTTACGATAGTCAAAGCGTTGCTTCTTTAATCCCGGTAACACCAACCGGACCGAATGCAGCAGACAATATTATGATACAAAAATAGATTATTAATACTTCATTTTCGAGTTACACTCAGTTACGGGTTGTACTTCATTCGGTTCATGAGATTAAATGTTACATAATAGATTACTGTATCTGTAGCCCAAGTTTTACTTTCGTCAAAGGACGCGTAGTGCGCAGTGTATATTTAGTGTTTCCATGCCAGAATATGACGGCACTCTATTACTGTTTGCCTTATCCTGATGTTAGCCTTGTCAATTTCTGAAACATTGCATTGGTGCACGATGCCTAAGTGTTCAGCATGACTGTTACAGGCAGATGTTCTTTAATTTTGTTGTAAACCGTCCATCGTTCTTCTTACCTTATAAATTTTGTCTTTATCGTTACACCGTCTTGTAACCTGAAGCCCTCAAGCCATTCGTACACCCGAGTATGTCAAATAATGACCAACTCCTTCAAAGCATACTTCATGACATATTTTACTACCCCCTTGCTCACAGTTGCCTATGGGGGAATTTAAGCAGGCAGCGGCTTCAGGGCCATTGAAAACCTGCAGTGTGAGATGCATCTCGCATCGTTTTGTCAGCCAGAGGCATCTGCTCTTGGAGGAGCGAGCCATTCGTTATTTGACATATTCAACCATACAGCTTATGAAGTTTGTGTGGTAGCATAGAAGCTCCTGAAACAGCGTTCATGAAGAATGCGAGCTGGCTGTAGCGGACAAAATGATGTGAGACGTATCCCGCAGTGCAGGTTCTCAAATACCATGGAATAACAGTCTGCTCAAATGGCCCCTTAAGCAACTAAGAGCAACGGGCGATGTAATTCGCTGTGAAATCTGGCTTTCACTTGTTATTTTTCTTGTAACCTACAGTGCTTTAGAAAGGCTGCTGCAATAAACGTTTCCAATAAAATATCCCTAGTGTCATAAGCAATTTTATAGTCAATGACAAACTCCATCTG